TTTGGCTGAACCATGAGTGCCCTCTGCACACCAGGGGTATGGTCCCTCTGTCTGCCCTCCCAGGCTCCGCAGTGTTCGTCACTTGCTATGGCTATCTCCAACCCCAGCAGTTGAGGACCCCTAAGGCAGGGGCAGCCAGGGCTCAGATTCCTCTCCCTTTATTGCCTGCACCCCAGCCTGACCCAGAAGAATAAGGGGCTCCCTCAGGTCTGGTGGCACAACCTTAAAAGAGAGCTTATGTGTCAAAGGAGGGAGCTTGTCCACTCCTGGAGGTGCAGGCTGAGAAGGGTGACCTGCTGGTCTCTCACAGAGCTGGGGCCTTGGGGTCCTCTGCACTCCGCATCTTTCAGCTTTGCTGCCAGTCAAAAGGATTTCCTGCAGGGAGCCTCCTAGAGTACGCTTTATAGTTGTGTCCCCATGCCTCGGACTCCCTGCCTTCTGGGAACCTTTCTCTGTGGTTATAAATAAAGATAAAGGGCCGTAAGCTGCCGGCAGGATTCAGAGGCAGAGTGCTGGCCCAGATCCCCTAGGGATCCTGAACCCTGAATTGGAAACAGGCCACAGCCTCTGTGGTTGGTGACACCGTCGGGCTACACAGATATCTCCCTGCCAACCAAACCAAGGGAGAAGGGCCAGATAGGGCTGGTGTTTCAAGAGTCTTGGAGGGTCACAGGCCACAAAGCAGTTGGAGCCTAGGGTGGCATCATCTCCATGCCAAGTCTGGCTCTCCTTATCACCTTAACCCAAGATTTAGGACTCAGCCAGCCACTTTCCCTAATGGCTTCCAGAATTCTCTTGCTGGAATGGTCACAGGCTCTTCCGCTCCCTAGGTCTTATCCTGCCCCTTCTTCCAGCTTTTGCTTCCAAGCACCTCCTCTTCCTCCAGCCTCAGGTCACAGAGCTCCTTGTGCTCCTCCCTCCTCACAGGAAGCCTCTGATCCCTGTGCTATGGCCCAAAGCATCGGTGGCCCAGGGAGGGGGCTGTATCCATTTTGGTAGGTGTGCCGTGCTTATTCCTGAATGAACAAACAGAGACATTGAAAGTGGACTCAAAAGGGCAAAAAAACTTTGGCAAGGGGGACTAAGGCAGTAGGCAGGCGTTCATATGAACTCGGGCACGTGTGAACCAGGGGTTGTGTTCAGAGAACAGAATCCGGAACAGCGAGCAGGCTGTGGTAGCCTAAACTGCACCCCTGTATGTGCCCCGGACCCAGGACATGCTCTACTGCGGTAGGCTGCCTGCCTGCGGGGAGTGAGCCCCTGGCCCCGCCATATGCAAGCACAGACCTTCCATGTCATGTCCCACCTCAGCCTGCCTCTCTGCTGTGAGCAGAGATATGAAGGAGATGCAGGTCTGTCCCCATCCAGGGCAGAGACTAGACAGCCAGGTCCTATGGTAAGGAAGAAGAAAATGCCACCTGACCTGGGAGTCAGGGAGGATGAATTCTGCCAGTCCTAGGAAGAAGTCACAGAAGGGTCTTGCTGGGTTCTGGAAAGATGAGTGCTTAGGGACAGGGGAGGGCAATTAGCACTGTCACCTGGGCAGCCTGCTCCTCCATGACTGGCCTGGACACTTTCTCATCCGCTCTGTATGGGCCCACTGGGCTTCGAATCCCCTTTCTGCCTCTACAGGGCCATGGGCAAGTCTCTTCCCCTCTCTGTGCATCCATGTTCTCTGAGAATCAGGAACAGTAAGAACTCTACCCCTAGCATGGGGCTGTGTGTGCTTTAGCGAACCAGCGCCCAAGCCCTGAGCTGGGGCCTGGTGGCAGCGCGTGCTGTTGTGTGGGGTAATAAGGCCACAGTGCACCCAGCCAGCCCTAAGCTCACCTCTGAGTATGGGCATAGGGTGGGCAGGGTTCCCACACAGGGGCAGCCACCCAGGCCCATCAGTGCTGGCAACAGCCAATTAATTTACGGCAGAAAGGAAAGAGCCTGCTCATGCCACAGCCCTCCAGGAGAGCTTCCTGGAGGACAATTTGCGGTCCCCAAGCTTTGGAGCACTTCCTGCAGACAAGGCACTGCCAGGTCACCCTGGCAGGTCACTGCCCATGGGCCTTCAGGCATTAGGGGAAGAATTTGGGGAGCCTGACTCCCAGGTGTGGGCCCTCTTCTCTCCATAAGCACCCCTCTCATACAGAGTACTCCAAGTGCTGGGGGACCATGAAGCAGGGTGCGCTGATCCCCCCCATTCCCACTTGTCAGAGCCAAAGACTGTTTCCCACAGTGCCCTGCTAAGCCTGATAGGGGCCTCCCAGTGTCCAGTCTGCCCTGGCTGGTGGGCAGCCATCTCACAAGCTCATCTACCCCAGCTGGCTGCCCTCTAGCCCTCACTGTGGTCCTTTGTGAGGGCTAAAGACTTGGGGTGCAAGAGGTGTGAGGGGGACCCCAGGCCTGAAGGGACTCAGCATTCATGATTTTCGGCCCTATTAGGGAGCGTAGGGTGAGGCCTGTTTGGACACAGTGGAAAGGGTGCAGAAGGGCAGCCCCTCTTCCCGCCTGCTTAATCTCGGGCTTTATCATTTGGGAGTGAGGAAGAGAAATGTTTACACGGCCTTGCGTTTGTTTCAAATTATTCATCAGTGTTGGCGAGTCATTGTTCCCTGCTAGTGTAAACAGCCATGTCCCTAAGGCCAGCCACCCTGCCAGGTCACTGAGGGTTTGTAGATGTGTTACGTCAACTGCCCTTTGTGCTTTCAGTGAGGTGCAGAGCTGGGCCAGGCCAGATGGCTGCAGATGGGTGGCTCCAGGGGCAAAGCAGCATTTCTGCACTGAGTCCAGCGTTGGGGAATCTGGATCTACTTTGTTTGCCTCTCAGTTGAACCTTTCCCTGGGTGGGGAAGACAGGACACCAGGCAGAGAGCCTGAGAGCCCCGGGAAGAGAGGCAGCAACCAACTGCAGAGGCCCATGGCTACGTATGTGCCCTACCCGAGCATAGGTGCCTCCAGGGTCCTGTTGGGCCACTGATGCTGCTGAGTCACTCAGTACTACTTGTAGCCAGCTGCCCCTGGAACTGACAGCCATGTGCTCAGGTTGGCACCCAGGTTCAAGCTTGCAGGAAGAGAGCCATTTCTTCATAGCATTTGTCTGAACACATGCACAGTAGACCTGCCTTCACTTTGCCCATCTCATGGCTTGGCTCTGAGCCTTTGTGTCCTCATCAGTAACAAGATGTGTCACATGGGTTGCTGAGAGTCCTGGTGAAGCCTCCGCCTGACACATCCTGACCCCCAGGGGAGGTGAGCTTTGTGTTACTAAGAGATGAGGAGGAAAAAGTGTCAGACCTAGAGCTGTTCATGTGCAGGTTGAAGGCCAATGCCACTGAGATGTGGAGGGGAGTCGGCCACTCACCGTACCTTAGGCCTGGTCCCAGTAAAGGTGCCATTGGCACTGGGCCTGCAGAGAGCCATCAGCAAGACTGTGTGGAGAAAAGTATTGAAAAAATGAATCCCCATCCCTCCTTCCGGGCTTCCCTGGGTCAGACTGTCAGGCTTAGGGTCTGATCACGCTGTGCCTCTCAGCAAGAGCCGCCTTTACATTTGAGCCTCAACCCCTGGTGACTTTTAGAGTTCAGAGCTCTGCTTCCCTCCTCTGGCTGCCACACGGCTGACATCTGAGCCTGCCAGAGAATAATGACAAGCCTCGCCTAGGGCCTCAAAGGCAGCCGCGGTCTCCTGGGTGGTAAAGTGCTCTGCTGTTCGAGGGCCTAAATAGGATCCAGCTGACACTGCTCCAGAACTGCGCTGTGCCAGGTTCATGGAAGGTCACTCTGCCGGCCTCTTCCCTTTCTCACATCCTTTTGGTCCCAGGAGTGAACGATGTCAGTGTTAGAACCGTCTGAAATCCTCAGTGCTGAAGTACATGTGCACGCGTGTGCTTATATACATGTGTGTGCATGTGTGCCCGCGTGTGAGTGTGTGTGTTGGGCATGGGGGACTGGCTAGAAGCAGCCAGTAGCTCACATTGTCATTGTGGTTTTATATATTTGCCTATTAAAATGACAATACAGCCATGGAACATTAAGGTTTAAGAAGCCCTTCTTTCATTAAACAAACTGACAGAGCGGGGCCTGTGGCTCCGGTAATTGAAACATGCTGCTGTCCAGACCAGAGCTCCATAAAGACTCTTTTCAGCCAGTCACACCCTTTGTGCCAGCAGCCTCTGGTCAAAAATGAGTGTCGGCACTGAGGTTTGTCCTCCCTCCCTCCCGGGGTGGGACAGACCTCTCAGCAGCCTCCCCGACAGTCCCAGCAGCCAGAGGTCAGAGTCTTTTCAAATCCTCCCCACCTTCTGGGCTTTTAAAATCCATCTGCCAGCCTGCACCTTAGGGTGGTGCAGGCCACCCTGGCCCCAACCTCCCCTTGGCTCCAGGGTCTTGTGCAGCTGGTTGTGAACTTGAGGAGGGCTGCAGAGGGGTGATGGCCGTCTGTGGTCGGCGAGGCTCTGTGTTTTGTGGGAGACAATTTGAGCTCCATCGTCTTCCTAGAGAGGGGGGATCCAGTGATGTCAGGGAGAGCCAGGGTTTGGGAGTCAGTGTACTAGGTTGGAATCCCATGTGGTACCTTGGGCAAGTGACTTTGCCTCTCTCTCTCTCATTTCATCAACTATAAATGGGTTAATATACAAACATGGCTGCAGGGTTGCTGGGGGATTAGAGGGATGGATATGGGGGAGACACAGAGCTGTGCTAGGCACCCAGGAAACCACTAGGGTCCGCCTCCTCACAGCCGTTGTCCCTGACTACTTCTGTGGAGTCACTCTGGAGAGCACCGTTGTGGAGTGTAACTGTGGCACCATGGAGTGCCTCGGTGATGCCATGGCATGTGTCTGGATACCCCCACGTGAGCTCCACCATGCAGCACACCCAGGGGTGCCCCTCTGGCAGCACCAAAGTCCTCCCTGGGGGGGTCCTTTAGCACAGTCTAGAGAAATCGGTGACATCAGTGTCCCGCCATCTCAGGTGGTGATCTCTCTCTGCCTTCTCTTCCTCTTCTCACAGACGTGGATGAGTGTCAGGACAACAATGGTGGCTGCCAGCAGATCTGCGTCAATGCCATGGGTAGCTATGAGTGTCAGTGCCACAGTGGCTTTTTCCTCAGTGACAACCAGCACACCTGCATCCACCGCTCCAATGGTGAGTACAGCCTCTTTCGAGCAGGCACACCGCCAGCCCCACAGAAACAGGAGGCCCCCAGAATCTCCCTCTCCACATGTGCACTCCAGGGGCCCCAGAGTCAAGGGAGTTTGGACAGGTGGCCTGTCTTGTGCTTCTGGTGTTGGAAACCTTCTGGGCTTCTTTCCTCTGCCACTACACCAGGTTGTTGGGATTTCCACTATGTGTGTATGGAGACAAGGGGACACAAATGGCAAATATGACCACAAAAGCCATCTTCCTTTCTGGATTGGGGGCCAGCTGTGGCCAGGAAGAATGGAGTCCCATTCTCAAGGATCCCCTTCTCCAAAGGGGGCTCGAGGTCTATAGGCTGTGCCACCTTCCTGTCTCTGAGTCTGCATGCTCACTGGGGTACCAGCCTGCTGAATATCCTTGTGATTGGGAGCCTGCTGCCCTCTGGAGGCCAGGTGGCATGGCAGGCCTGCCTGTGAGGTACAGAGGGCCCAGGAAAGATTCTGGCCAGAGGGGGAGCAGGCCTCGCCTGGGACAGAGCCTGGCCACAAGCCAAACCCAGCACGTGGAGATACTTGGTGTCAGGGCACTGGTGATCAAATCCTGAAGTTTGGGCCTAGGAAAGTGGGCCTGTAGGACAAGCTCCCAGGGAGAGGGGCCTTATGTGCAAAGACAGGGGATTTTCTCTTGGCTAAGACAGAAGTAAGCGCCAGAGTCCCTGGTAGGGCTGTGGGTTGCAGCAGAGCCAGTCAGGAAAGCAATGGCCAGAGCCAAGGCTCTGGAGGCCTGGCTGTTCTGAGTGGTCAAGGAAGATGTGAGGAAAAGGACAGGCCAGCCCCACTGCCCCTTCCCCATCACTGACCCTCTAGCAGGAGGCTGGAAGCCCAAGGCCGGGGCGTGGGCTCTCTCTAACACCAGACACCCAAGGAGTGGCTCACACAGAAGGCAGGGTTCAGAGAGGGCCACGTTGGACTAGCCAGAACGCAGCCCCCACCCCATCCCTGCCGTTCCTCAGGCAACTCCCTGAACTTCTCTGAGCCTCAGCCTTGTCCACAAAACAGGCCCATGGTGCTGACCAGCAGTGTCGGAGCTGGAAGGAGACCTGCATCCAGTGGAGGGTGCAGGAGGCCTGGGTGCTCTCTGGGAACCTGGGTGTAGTCTTGTTAGGAAAGGTCTTGTCCTGAGAAGGTGAAGGCGAAAACATCCAGAGTGCAAAGCTCGGGCGACAGAGCACTCATGCCTCAGGGAGCGTCTCAGAATCTATTTGTTCTGGTATTTCTTCACAGTCAAGTCAGGCATACTGGTTGCTGACCTGGCAGTGTCCCCAGGAGGACCTAAAAGGTGAGCTCCATGGCTCCCAGGTCCTTGCTGCACCGGTATCATGCAGATGCCCACAGCCACCCCACAGGCCCATGGGCACATCTGGGCTGGCAGCAGTTCATTGGGCACCTTCCAGACCCCAGCTATGGCACTGTAGGGTGGAGCTGCCCACGATGGAGTCCGACTTGGCATTAGAGGCGTGTTAGAAGCATGTCTGCGGAGAAGGAGTGTGGGAGGGAGAGTCCAGCTTTCCTCAGGGAAGGGGCTTCCCCAGGGTGACTGCTTCTGGTAGCTGTGACACTCCTGAGGCCAGGCTCCTGAGCACCTTTTTAGCACACGCAGGTGGTGTGTGCTTGTTCCTCTGAAGAGCACCTTTCTCCCTGGCAGATGCTGGAGGGAACTGAGACCCCTGGTTAAAATCAGATGGGCAGGAAAGACGCAAGCAGGAGACCAGAGGGCCTGTTTGTCACAGGGGCCTGTTTGGCCTGTCGGCATCACTGGGCTGAGGTGTCAGCAGGGGCAGTCAGGGGAGTTGTTGGTGTGGGGAGCCCACCAGGAGTTGCTCCACTGCTGTGAGGCTGAATGCTCCAGCTTCCCAGCTGCCCTCAAGGGAGGCGGGCTCAACCCTGTTGATGGGGAGGAAATGGAAGCCAGTCAGGTTAGGAAGACAGAGTTGGAGGGGAGCCCAGGCACTCTTGCTATGGGGCTCGCTGTCCAGGACGTAAGACTACTGAGGAAAGAAACAGGTAGTGAGACACATTAGCCAGAGTTTCCTCCTTGAAGAGGAGGCCACATTTGTGCAGAAATGGAATGTTGAGAAAGCACTACTTGGAAGTTTAGGGGCAGTATATAGGCAGGGCCTGTGCAAAGGCCCTGAGGTGGGAAGTCACCTTGTGCAGAATAAAAGGCATGCAAGATGGTGGAGAGCAGTGACCAACAGGAGAAGAGCCCAGGATGAGGGTGCTAGAGGGGCCTGAGCCCCGGTGTGCTGGTAGGCCGTGGGCAGGAGTTTGGTTTTATGCATAGGGCAGCCATGAGGAGTTTTTGAAGACTATAGAAATTAGGCCATAGGGAGAGTAGAGGGATCTATTTAGGAGGCTCTGGAACTTCCAGGGGCTGGGCCTCAGGTGAACTGTGCACTAGCTGAAGTATGGTGTGACCCTGGGCATGTGGATCACTCTACCCAAAGGCCTCTGGGGGACCATATCCTGATTTTTAAGTGAAACCAGAAATCCATATTTAATCAGAATACAGATGTGGAGGCTTCAACCCCTCTCTGCATTAACTGATGTGTTAGTTTCAAGAAGACATTTCTTTCATTAGGATCTTTGGTGGAATCTCCAATTTGTAAATCTGAGCAACAAAGCAAAAAGAGAAAAACAAAAAACCCAGAGAATTTCTTTGGTGCCTCCCAAAGCATAAGCAGGAGCATTTCCAGGGTGGCAGAGGCTGTGTGGAGGGGCCAGCGGCTCAGGACGAGCTCACTGGACACAAACCACCTGCTCAGCAATGCCCGGGAGAAGACAGGGACTTGGGTGCCTGGCAGCTTGCCCACCTCTCTGAGTCTGTGCTTTAATCAGCGTTTTTATTGCTGTGACCAAAAGACCTAACAAGAAATAGGAGAAATTTTATTTCATTTATTTTTCAGTTTCAGAGCTTTCAGTCCATAGATGATGACTCCATTGTTCAGGCCCGAGGTGAGACAGAATATCATGGCAGAAAAGTGTATAGGAGAAAAGCAGCCCAGAACCTGGCCACCAGGAAGCAGAAAGATCCCCTCTCACCAGGGACAAAATATAAACCCCAAAGGCACACCCCCAGACCTGCCTCCTCCAGCCATACCCTCCCTGCCTGCCACCATTAACCTCCCAGTTAATCTGTATCAGTGGATCAGTTAAGTCTCATAATCTATAAGCATTTCACCACTAAGGTTCTTGTGTTGTCTTGCAAACGAGCTTTTGGGAACACCTCACATCCAAACCATAACAGCCTCTCTGTGGTTGTGACAGTTGCTTACTACCAGTGCCAGTCACAATAAAGACTGTTATAGCTCAAGATCAGAGCCTGCCTGGAGGTGCTAGGACTGAGCTTGTTTTGCACTCAAGTGACCTCTGATTCTGTGGCTCCTGAGAGTGATGGATCCAGAGCCTTTTGCAAATTAGATTCCCTTGTGTCACTTGATTCCTCTAATGCCTGTCTAGCTCTCTGGGGCCTCCCAAAAACAAGGTGGGGCGGGGCACACAGGCTGGTTTTGTTTACATGGAGCTAATGCATGAGGGGGATCAGGCAGGGTCAGTTCAGACTGCTGGCTGAAAAACAAGGTCATGGACTGAGCCTTCTGAGTGGCCCCACTTCCCAGGTGCCAGCACGTATTACCTGAGACTCTAGAGCTGGCCCAGGCTCCCAGCTCTAACTCTCTGTGCAGTCTCTGCAATCACTCCTGCTTCTTTGGGTCTGTTTCCTTTAAGAGGGGCCCAGGTACCCCTCTGTGGCCAGAGGGTGCCATCAGGGAAGTGCTGGCGGCAAGTACAGCACATGCCTCTAGGGGTAGGACACATGTAGACAGTTTCTCCAGGTCTTTAGAACTCAGGTTTGATTTGGGGACACACTCAGGCTGCTCCCTGTCCTTATTAAGTAAGAGGAGACCCTGAGTTGTTGAGTCTTGGCCGATCCCTCTGCCCAGCCCCTGGCCCAGCAAGTGCTGGCTACCCTTGGTTTGGCCCACAGCCAAGACCATGAGGGCCAGCCCTGGCCTCTGCTGCCCCTGGCGGTGCCTGGTGGCCCAGAAGCCGGTCCCTCCACCTCTCTCCCTCTCTCACACTAGCTCTCTTATCTTTAAAATATGTCGTATTTATGCTCCAAAAAGACTTTGCTTTGGGGATGAAGGTTCCCAGTGAAGAATTTCTTCTCAGGATCTGCCAGCATCCATGGGGCTGGAGAGTTCTCTGGAGACCTAGTGACAGCAGGCTCAGACTTCCTTCTCCGCCCTTGGTGCACTCACTCGCCATCCGCCAGGTACTCAGCGACCTCCAACCTCAGGCTTGGCTCTGGCGAAGCTCAATCTAGTAGGGGACGGAGTGCTGAGTAAGGGTCTGGGAGTTAGGATCTGGGAATCAGAGCCAGGAAGGCAAGCCCCAGAGCTTCTGTGGTTTTGTGGCTTCAGTTTTCTCAGAGCCCTCATTGTGAGTGGGGAGGGAGGGAAGAAGAGTACCAGGTGACAGGCAGTATGGAGCGTCAGAACAGCACTCAGCTCACCACAGTGCCACTGCTCTCCTGGGCATCTGCCCAGGAACAGGGTGCCTATACTGCACACATGCAGGCTCCTGTTCCTCCGGCCAGGACACTGCACATTGATCTGAGTGTGTTTCATGGTCCGATTAAAGTTCTGCTGAGTTTGTTTAAACACTTGTATAAACTCCGGTAGGAAACTCCGTTGCCCCTTTTCCACGGCACTCCTTGTGGGACTCAGGGCCATGTGTCCACAAAGGTCAAGGCTTGGCATCATGAGTGACACTAGCTCTGGCCAGATTCAGAGGGGTCCAGGAGTAGGAGAACCTGGCTTCCAGAACACCTCCCCTGGATGGGCTGGTGGTGGGGAGAAAGCTACCCAGTAAGAGCAGTCCTGAGCACAGTCCCCGTGTTCCCTTGCCACATCTTCATGGTGCCCCACTTTCCACAGTAAGTAACTG